CATTTTCCACTGAGATTGGTAATGGTACGACCCATCTGTCACTGATTCAGATCAAGGTCATGACCAGGTTATGGCCAGCTCATGACATCACTAAAAACAATGGCATTATAATCTAAGCTAATTATTTATTCTGAGCATGCTCAGTTGCTCTGTCAGTACAGTAGGGTGAGGTAATTTTGGATGAAAATCTTGAAAAGACCCACTTAGGATTTTCAGATCTGGGGGGAAAAAAATTATGTTTTTCGAAATAAAAAGTTTTTATTATTTTAAACAGTGCATAATATGTAATAATAATTTTAAATTCATGATTATAAGGCATGCTATATCTTCATATTTTTTGTGAATATTTTCTGTAACACAAATTCTTAGTCTCAGTTGTCCTAAGCTCTGTATTTTTTATGTATAGTGCAAACTGAGTTTCTGTTTCATTTAGTTAGTTTGAATACATTTAGGTAAAACTTGTGAATCAGAAATCAGGAGTTCATGAATCTGAATTTAACAGAATCAAATATTCTGAGCATGCTCAGTTGCTCTGTCAGTGTAGTAGAGGGGTAATTTTGAATGAAAATCTTGAAAAAGACCCACTTAGGATTTTCAGATCTGGAAAAAAAAACTATGTGCATATGTAACATAGACTTGTTCATCAACTTGCCAAGTTTCATTGATATCTGCTGCACAGTCCCTGAGAAAATGTGAGAGATAACTGGCAATGAAAATGAGAAAGTAATTTTAGTACTCCCCGTTCAGGCGAATATATGTAATAATGTACATTAGTGTATATTAAAGAGCATAGCAAGTAACAGGAAAAGCAGTGACGTTTTAAGTGTTTGGCATAAAACTAATGAAAAGCATTCTTTCATAGTACTCATACATGCAATGCTCACAGGAGGTATTTTCACAAACATACAATATCACAGCAAGGAGTGTTTTCATCCAATTTAACTTTCACAATCAATCACTGTTTAATATTGAGCAAAAAATACAATACAGCCGTATTTCACAAACAGCACCATACTTCAAAATAATTTCTAGTTTAATCTGCCCATATACATTCAATAACATGCTTAGTGAATATGAAAACTTAAATTATTCTAAAAATAGCTATAATCACCAGTCTATTTATTTACCCACAGTAGCTAACAGTTGGAAGCACAATTTATGGCCAGTTATTGGTTATTCACAGTAATTGTCAAGGAAATAGAATCTATACAGTGTTCCTTTATACACACTTAATTTTGCGACTATTACAAAGTGAAATTATATGCTCACTATTGCCTAGAAGCATATTATACACAATCATAAATTCTGGATTTTGTTTTTGTGGAAACACAATGAAAATCAGCATTTGAAAGATAAAAAGCATACATAGTCGCTAAAAAAAAAAAATAATACAGAACAATACTGAAATTGTAGAATTGAAAGCATTTTCAAACCATTACATATACTACTGTAAAAGGGTTAATTATTCACTGGGTTTTAATTTTGTTTATTTCGCTGACTGAAAAATGTGCCTGGAATGGTAAATCAGCAAAATTTAAACCCAGTGAAAATTAGTCATTTTACAGTATATAAGAGGAAAAATAAAGAATACATATATTTTAAAATAATTAGGTTTAATAATATCAGAATATTTAATAATAATATGTATATGCATCAAAGGCGTAAGATCTATTACGATAATCAGGATACAACATCAGACAATCAATTAAATTATTCATAGTTATCCACATTGTCTATTTACACGACTTGATATTTATAAACTATATTTTGTGGATGTTTTTTTAAAAGATATTGACACTTGTCCTTGCTTACATGCAAATCGCTGTATTCCCCCCCTAAAGTAAATGCCTAAGCATGGTGCCTAATTGGCGAAATAATTAAAACTAATTTGCATATGATTTTTTACATGTCAACAACCTCTATCATGTCTTGAGAAAGTTCAAGCCTGGTCTTCCGGTAACTTAATGATGAATTACATTTTGACTTGGTTCTACTATGTCCCTTAAAAAACCAAGACTAATTCAAACCATACCATAACAGGGGAACTTGATGTGTTGACCTTTTCGTTGAGTTCAACCCAAGGTGGTATTTTTAACCATGACCCAGCTTTGACCTATTGTGGTTCAGGAGCAACAAGCATTGTAGTTACCCTGCATTGATTGGTTTTCCATAATGGTTACTGTAACAGTCAAAGAACCCTAGTAAAATGTTCACTGATTCAAAATTTCATAGTATTCTTTTACTCATGGCATATTTGTGATATTAAATATTCAAGTACATGTAGTACATGTAGGTTTAGTTTCACTAAACTCTCATATATACAGAACATTTACTGCACAGCATGTGTCAACTAAGGCAACTAATTAGGGCAATCTTTTTTTTTTCTTCTATGCTATCAATAAAGAGACAGTGCTTGAAACGTCTAGCTATTTTTATGTAATAGTTACTTAGGACTATGATTACCAAATATTATCTTCTATAGGGCAAACATAAAGCCATTTTAGCTGAACTGAATATTTTGGTATTAATTATATTTATATGTGCCTACATGTATCACTAGAGAATCATTTGACATGTGTGACGGAATGAATACATGTGCGGAAAATCCAACATATAAATAACAAGGCCAGAGAATTGATCAATAAAAAGCAAGCAATAACTCTGAAGAATGAATAGTAGCGTTTATTGAATTTAATGAATCAAATCTTTAGTTGTGTATCTCATCAACTGTCATGGACAGACTGACCATTGAATTGATGACAAGTACAATCTGACAATCGTAGCTTTGCATTTGCACATGTGTTCACTGTTTTATAGCTATACACAAACTTGTTAAGAGATGATAAATCAAATGATGTTTAATAACTAAAAGAACTGCCAAAATTCTGTGGTTTTTTTGAAAAAACACAGTGATTAACTGATAATTATTCAACGATTCTCTGGACCATCATGATATTTTTATGGCATAGATTATTAGTCTAGTACTATAATTTATCACTTTTGTCTTCAATTGTCAACAAAAATATCAATCAAAAATGAGAAAACAAGCAGCCTGCTGGCTCTGGAGCCACTGCCAATATTTGAATTGAATTATCTACAGCATTGACAATTGTATTACAAGAAATACCTAAATCTTGAAAAAATACAGGCAAGGTGAAATAATTAACATGTTAGTTTTTCAGAAACTCATCTTGTCCAAGAAAAAACATTCAAGTTACAGAAAAAAAATACTAGTACCAGGTTTGTATTAAACAAATCTAAAGAAATCAGCAATTAAATAAATCTAAAGAAATCAACAATTATTTTTCATACTGGGTTTGCACTATCAGTAGCACTTATGCAAATGACAAATAATTTACAGTCATAAAGAACAGAACATGTCATCAACACCAGCTCCAACAGATTTATGAATACATACATTTACGGTGCCACAATTAATTCACTTACCAGCAACTTTTGTAACACATCACTTTATATTTAAAAAAAAAAAAAAAAATTAAAGGATTGAATTCACTTTCTATTTTAGACATACATGGGGATGCAAATGATTTTCTAGATAGTTTTAAAAAGCAGCTTTACTGCAAACAAGAAATTTATATTCCTTAAATAATTAATTGTAAACTGATTTTGACATTAAATAACATCAGCACTGTCGTATATACCGGTATATGGGAAAAAATGAGGAATTGGACATTGTCATAACTGTGCTTATGAGTTTTTTTGTCACATGGTTACTGTTATATACCTACACTCAACTCAATATGATAACTAGTGATAACCATTAAAATCCACAATCATATCTAATACCTTATCAACAATGCATTCAACTATGTAAATTAATTCTGAGGTTTTGTCCATATTTTTGTCATACCTAGCCCAGCTGTAAATATGCACAGCAGAATTTCTACATGCAGGTACTAGACACATTGCTAATATTCCACAAACTCAACCTTACTCAATATCATTATTTAACATCACCTACAACCCAGCTGAGCAAAACAGGCGAGTTCTGAATACAGGCAAGGGCTAGCATATCACATACATTGTACACATCCAACAATAAAAAAATGACACAGTCATTGTTCACACCATGAATGGCTACCACTATTGAATATTAAAAATAGTTTGAAAATAATGAAAATAAAAAAAAATAGTGTTTGTATGACTCCAACAAAACATATTGTACAAAAGGAGTCATTTTTGACAGCAAGGATTCATACCTATCTATGAGGGGTCGAAAATGTCATGTCAAAAATAGAGATGTAAAACATGTGACAAAAGTAATAATTTATATTCAGTTGCTAAATTTGTTTTCATATTTTTATAATAACAGTTTAAAACATGTATTTTAACAGAACCAATTTTCTCTGAAATTTTTCCATCAAGTTAGAATCACAGGTAATTCAATCAATCTAATGTTAAATTTTTTGTTTTAAAATTATTACATAATTATTGATTTGGACACTTTGGTTTTTTTTTTTCAAGTACAAATTATTTGGCTGAAAAATGCCTGAAAAAATTACCCATTTTTATCTATTTACATGTACCAAATTTCACCCACCCCCACAACAGTTCTAAATATTTTTAAAAAATCAAAAAAAAATCAGATGGGTGTCTATTTTCGAAAAATTATTGAATATTTTGTTTGTTTTATTCTAAAAATCGTCATTGATACTATAAATATTATTTGACACTAAGTATGACACCAGTTGAGGATGATCAGATATAATAAAGACTTTTTTTAATTAAAGTTCAGTCTCGTTGAATTCAGTCACAGTCCCTCTAGAGGGACTGTGATTCAGTCAATATTGTTTACAGCTGGTGACTGTTTCTCGGGGCGGGGATACCAGTATTAAATTACGGAGCTACAGTAGTACTAGCACAGGGAGCCCAGGAACTATAATCAACTGTAGTACGCAGTCTCTATTGTGATTGCACGTAACCGCTAGCATTCAACTTGCTACTTGTCACTCTCCGTACAACAACAATCATACACTTACCGATGGTTGTAATTACTGTTGCTGCGAAAAACAGCGATGAAGCGAAGTTCCAGGACTTCGGATTGTCAGTGGCATTGTTAACCGCTGACACGCCTGTTTCATAAGCTTTGACAACTTCTTCGATAAATTCATTCAGATCTTTGAAATGAATACATTCGTGTTGATTTAAAAATTGTACGACAAAATGTGACATTTGTTCTTTCCTTTTCTCTTCTGCCGGTCCTTCGATAGCAGAGAACACTGCACCCCCGATGCAAAGATACACCACGAAGAAAAAAATTAAAAGCACGAATCTGACATTCACATTTTCTTTCATGCTGTCAAGTTCTCTCATATATAAGTGAAGAAGCTGATCTCAGTTTTACAAACAAGCCCGCCGGTAACTGACCAATAAATGAATGAACTACTGAATATACACACACAGCCCCATAGAGATTTTATACACGTCGCTAGTCACTGCTTATGAGTAAAATAGTTCTACATTTTTTCCTCGTTTAAATTCACAGCACTAATTTAAGTTATTTTTCACATTCACTTAAATTCAGTGGACTTAAAATGATAAATGCCTAATACTTTAACTCTTCGTTGTTTTAGCAGAATCAACCGAGTTTTTTAACAGCGGAGTGATATAATTTATACTCTGTAAGACGAGACCCTGGCCGATTAATAAAGTTACTACTACTTCATGCCGGTGTTTGGGTTTGTTTTGTTACATACAGGCTTTGTTATTTTAGATTCGTCAAGTTGTCGCGATATAATTTTCACTTGCCTGTATTTAATCCTAGTAAAATGAAAGAAAATATATACATTTCAAAATACGAAACTGAAATATATGTTTTTCACAATCTGATTACATATTTAATTTTCACCATATTTTTTTAGTCAAACGATCTTATTTTGTAATATTTTAATTTCAAACAAATTTCGAAAACCATAAATAGTTTTCATAGCAAATCAAAAAACACGTTTTTAATTGCTATAGAAATCAATTGATAATGCCCACAAGATGAGTTTCAGTACAGTAACTGACAATGTCTCTCTTGATGCGTTGTAATTGGTCGAGTTGATTTAAACCGTCATTTGAAAATTATAGAACATTTTTAAAAAGATTATATAACAATAATGCGCTCATGAAATTCACTATGCCACCTTGTGAGTTTTCCATACTTTTTAAATGAAATTGAAAAAAATTAAATATGTGCGCAATAAACAATAAAGCCGTACAATTCATCAGATTGATATCCCGCTTTTTACTTAAATGTTTTTGCTTTCTTCAATGTTGTTTTTCCCCATTTTTTGCGTTTTCGGTCTGTCAAAATATACTGCTTTCGTCGTGTAAGGAGGAGGGGTGTACATGTACATGAAATAGCCTTCCTTTTTTTTTAGCGAACTTTGCCAATTTAAGAACACCCCCCTAACTGTTTCAAGGAATCCTACATTTGTTGCTATTAGTGACACGAGGTTCATGACCAATAATATAATAATATAAACACGTGATGGTATTTAGTCAGTGTTCATCGGTGAAATTCTTGACGTTTCATAATAATATTGTATCGCACATCATTTTCATCACTAAACAGATCTATTTTTTATTTAAACACAATACTTTCCATATCAATCTCCACGCACAGTCGACGTTGAGGGACTATGTTAACCTCGAATCCAGTCATTCCGTGTACACCCAAAGAATGGTCTGATGAATCACTATATAACTACGTAGTCGGTGGAATTCGGTTAAATCACTGATTGGCTGTCTCCATGAGTTCAGTACATTACCATGGAAACTCGCATGCGCAGACTGTTCCGTACGTAATGCCCAGCAGTCTATGAATAGTAGATTTTCAAAATGTTTGTTTGCAAAAAGTAAAATGTAATCTAAAAGTATTACCAGTATTGTTTTAAATATAGCTGAGATTATTGTCTTTGTTAATTTGCTATTGGTATTTAGATTACTCCATTCTATAGTGTACCTTGTATTGCAAAGATGCTTTTAAAATATTTAACTTGACCATAGATGTGTCCAGTACATTCTGAGTGCTTGATCTCGTTGGTCGAATATAACACTGATTTACATTAAAAAAAACAGTCATATAATGTGGTAGGAATGTGTTTTATGGATTTAAAAACTAATAACGCACATTGTTACTTTCTTAAAGTATTCTAACCACGGAGTTGGGTGGTTGTATTTATTGTCAATCATATCACGTTCGATAATAAGACATTTTCCGTAACCTTGATAACGCAGCTCTTGTATGAATGCGAGACAAATATTTTTATTGATCAAGTGTCGACGACGGAAAATCTTTAATTCTTTGTGTGAAGACTTTTTTGTCCCCACACCTAGGTTCAGCCATACATGGCCGAATCCAAAGCGAAAAAGCAACATTTTACATTAAACGCCCAATTTATCGATGTTGTAACACGTTGATCGTTAATCTTTTTTAACGTTATGAAAGAAGCCTATACTTATAATTTTTTGAGAGAATTGGTTTACTTATTATGCAAATCATGTAACTAATGTAACCCAATATGTTACAGTGACCTACTTTAAGGAACTTGTCCTAATATTTTTCAAAAATCGTTATTTTTAGAACAAATCCATAATATCTCTGACATAGAAACCTGCGGTAAAAACATTATAATACTTTCAAAATGGGCACTATCCACTAACATATAACCATAATTTTCTCGAACATTAGGCTGGTGATCCCACCTTTTTAAAACAATATTCTTATATTGTCCGCGAGTGCAATTTATTGCAAAATGAATAAAATCTGGGTATTTGCATTTATGAGTAGGCTTGTACATTAAATAACATTTATTAGGATATCTATAAGAATCATTTTTTTGTAATCTCAGCCAGTAACTAATGCATCTTTTAAAGTAAAGAACCGAACATAGAGACAAAATCAACCACATTCGTCAACAGCCGATAAATCGAGTAGAATTTACAAAATTGAGTTTGATAAAGAACCGAACATAGAGACAAAATCAACCACATTCGTCAACAGCCGATAAATCGAGTAGAATTTACAAAATTGATTTTGAACTTTTTCTATTTGAGAAGCGTTCTCCTATCCCCAGATTTAACTACCGTATAATGAGATTTGCACAATGATGAAATAAAATTAAAATAATTTATAAATGAATCCGACATACCACCCAGTTTTCGAATCAATACTCTAAATGGAAGCATTACTTTTTACTCCATACTACATCGTTTAACTTTAATCGGATTGCAATTGACTCTGTAAAAAAAATAATACACAGGGGAGTATGACAGCTTCATAAAAAGTTATTCTTGTACTCTGATTGGTTCATCTTTTTTTTTTTTTATAAATATTGACAATATTTTATTTCTAGTTCCAGTTGATCAACAACAACCCCTTCAGCAAAGCTCAGAAGTATTGGGGGAGCAAGTTGCTCACTAATTCGCCAAATATTTTGGTTTTGACCAAAGCAGATGACCTACAATTTGAATATTACCTTTTATTCTGTTATCACCAATTACTAGAGCATTGTATTATCTAAAAACAAAAACAATATTTTAAATAAGTTCACTAGGTTTTACAGGACTGAATGTTATGCAAAATTGTTGATATTGTTCATGAGTTTCTTCTCACTGACTTTAACAATAATGTAATTTATAGGATTGAAATAAGTTATTTTTTTCTAACTAACTGTACTAGTCGACTAGGACCTATAAAGTTGTATTTAAATAATTTGCACAGGCTGGGATCCGGACTATTTACAATACCCGGAAGTTGCTATGAGCAAAGATTCATGGGAATATTTCATAATGTTATTTATAATATTGAAAGTAGCGTAATTTTTTGTATATCACCATGGAATAATAATCAAGAAATTACATACAATTTAGCGAAGTTTATTTCTTTTTGAAAACGAATCTATTTTTTTTCAATCATGATGTCACGAAATGTTCAAGGGTGACGTCATGTTCCAAGATGGCTGCCATGGAGTGGTCTGTTAGTCAAGACGGCTGTTTGTCTGTTGGGGAGCAGACTTGCAGCGTTACTTTTCACCCCAAGCTCAATACCATTTTGGCTGTCACCCAGGATTCTACTGTACAAGTAATAGATGTAAACTCGGGTGCCATACTTCAAAAATCGACCCTCTCAGGTGAGAATTATGTGTCCTCGTCTCGGCTATAGCCAAATCCGGTCGTCATGTTTTGGACGGTGTGACTTGCAAAGATATGCGTATATTTTACTGTATTTTCCTTATTGTAAACGCATTTTGAATATGCCAGTAATTAAATAGTACTGTGTATGAATGTATTAACAATCTATTGATTTCGATCTGTCGCAGTGAGATATCTAATTTGGGTGTCGATTTCCTGCTTGACCTAAAACTAGTGCGCCTCGCGCGGTCAGTATAGCTATGGGAAATAAAAAGTCGATGGCGCAGTGGTTTCAACATTGCCCATTTTCATAGATCCATGATTTATTTCGACAGTTACTATTGTTCTAACAGAATAATAAATGATTCAATGGGCGTTAAAACGATTAAAATTAATTAAGGTGGAGGCAAACACACTTTGAAATAACAAGGAAATAAGTCATCCTAAATGTTTTCATGGTCAAATATATAAATTCTCAGAAGATTTAAATCAGTTGATTTCCATTTCGGGACGGCTATGGGACTTGTTTATTTGTAGTACTATAGTAAATTTCAACGTTTTCAGCATGTCTGAAATGTCAAGTCTACGTTAACTGTGGGAGCTAAGTTCAATGTGTGAAAGATCTGTCTAATAATAATTATTCAGATTCTGTATGTTAATGCTGTGTTTCAATGCCAGCTGATTCTTTGTTGATTTACACTGACACATCTTGTGCATTTCTGCTATGCATGGATATTTTTACAGTAAATTTGTTGCGTACTAGTTCAAAAGTATTGGATATATTGTAACCTTAACCTCTTTTTGCAATTTTGAAAGTAAGCAAAGTATGTAAAAAATTAAACCTATATTTTCTGTTGAATGATTGAAAGTTAGTGTGATTGCATGTCTTAATTAAGTCAATGTTGAATCCGAATGTATTTTAAAAATGAACCCAAAAATTAATTAATCAGCATTTTATAATTCCTCGTAACTAAAGAAGTCTATGTAGCAAACAGAAACCAGATCAAAATGGCAGTGAATGGAGGGCAGTGTGCGTGTAATGTGCAACAAACAAATTAATTCTGTGATGACATTTGAATTTTTGTAAACCTTTGTAGTTTTGATTAAAGTGAAAACTGAAGTTCTAACAAATTTCTGTTGCCAGGTGAAATCTGGGTCATAGCTGTGACCTCTTTTTTACCGCCCTGTGATTCCTAGTGATTTAGAATCAGGGTCACCATATGACCTTTTGATGTATGTACTTTGATCTTTGTAATTGTATTTTGTCATTTTTGACCTAGCAGTCTAAGTAATTGTTATTTTACACTTTTCAATAGAACCTTTTCCCCCCTAGGACCTACATGCAGTAGTTGTACAATTTGTTCAGCTCCTTACACCCCTGAAACTCTTCAGAGTTTCGATTTAATTCAGATTTCTAATTTAAATACTGGGTTTTTAATAAAACAATGTGTGGAGTTTTCATGGAATTTTACCATTTCCTGACAATGTTAAAAACAAAAGTGAATTAGAAATTGTATAGGCCAAATAAAAAAAAATGTGTTTCCAGTAACCTGACTTTGCCTAAATTTTTCAGGTCGACCCTGTACTTTTTTATGACCAATTTGTTATTTTCGAACCAAAATGTAAACCTGTACATGCAAGATGTGGTGTATATGAAAAAAATACTCTCGTATAACAGTATAGGCTAAGCAGCACTGTGAAATAATAAATTGAGAATGATGAATTAATTTTTGTAAAATAAAAAATTATGACAAAGTAAAAAATTAGTCTTACTTACCCTACTTTACGTATTGTAACCCCCATACACAAACGTAATAAAGTTTACATTTATTGGTAATAATAATTATACTGCCTTTATAAACAAGTCAGTATGCATGTATAAAAAAAAAAAAGAAGAACATGACTAATTAAATTCAAGAGACTCAATCATTGCTGCTTCACTGAGCAAGAAAGATGAGAATACCGGGGTAATATTTGATTTTGATAGTGCCTAGAATGACAAATCATTGAGTCAATTTTAGTGGATTATAATAAATGACCATTTCAGGAAGTCTTATTAATGCAGGACTACATGTAATTCTCTTGAGACTATATAATGTGAGTAATTTCTGACCAGAATGTAAATGGTGTAAGTGGTTACAAAACTTTAATTATTCTAACAGCCTCACTGCTTGAAGTTGTTCATAAACTTCCGGACTGTTAAGGTAATGTACATAGGTGTATTTAATGTTTTAACCACTGATTTATGTGTGTTTACAGGCAAGCACGATGGCAAAATTCAGAGTTTATATTTATCTGATAGCGATAAAATCTTTGTTACTGATGGACAAGCAGTGGGCTTACGTAAAGATCTGAGTGGAGTACTTCTATTAGACACAGCCTTACAGGCACCTGTAGCCCGCAGTGAAGACTTAGTCAAGGTGGAATTATTAGCATCAGAGGTTCGTATCAAATTTGCTTTACTTTCTAGTACCAGAGTGTACTTGTAAGACATCATGATGTAATCAGTTTGTATTTGCAGTCTGATAATCTGAATGGTTAGTAGTAGAAACTCAAATGATCAAAGAAAATGCTGGATGATTAAGAAATGTTTTTACCTACTGGTAAATAGTTGGATATAATACTAGTGCATGTACATGATACAAGTGTATATAATGTTTTTTTTTCAGGCTTCTCAGTTTTTAGCTTGTTTGAAGAAAACAGATTTACCTGGGGTGGAATTTTTAGAAGATGTATTAGAAGAACTGGAAAATGGTTTAAAAGGAAATACTCAACTTGACCATGCAAATCATAAATTAGCAAAGGTGTGTATTGTAAATCTTTATAGAATCTTCCAAAGTGTCATCGTAATATGGACATCTAAGATAGGATAATTGTTTAATCTGTGGTTCTCTTGTTTTATTTTCAGTGGGCGTCTGTGAGTTTACATCTTCCTTTATGTGCGTTAAGATCTGTATGTAATAGTTTAATATCTGAGTTGAAGAGGGCCAACCAGCATGTTCCTAGTTTATCCATTGCCTCCTCTATCATGGATCGTCTTACTGCATTGTACCCGGCTGGACAGTCTGACCTTGCTCACTCAACTACATCAGTCGGTGGTCGAACTATCGATCGGTCCCTCATGTACAGTGAGGCAGCACGTAGAGAGACGTTTGGGCCATGGCCGCATATGGATTACAAGTGAGTGTGTCAGTTATATACATTATATACATTGTGTTAACAATAGTTTATCATATTTATGATTAAAAAGTCTTCATTTGTGATAACATAGTTTTATATTTATTTTAAGATATGCTCTTCCTGATGCCATGGCCCAAGCAGGGTTTTATCATCAGGTATGTCACTTTCACTGTACTCTCTCTCTTTTTAGTCCCCGTTCGGACGCAGTCCGAAAACGGGGACTTATGTTTTGCCCTGTGTGCGTCCGTCCGTCCGTCCGTGCGTCCGTGATCACCTGTATCTCGAACATGCATGGACCGATTAAGTTCAAACTTCACTCATACATCACACATTATATGGGACATATGCACATGCATTTTTTTCATGATCCGATTAACGATAGCCGAATAGCGGCCATTTTAAGGCCGAAAATGCATC